AATAATCTACCAGTAATACATTAATTACGTTCATTGAAATCCAAAACGTCACTACAGACACGATCATAACGAACGAGTTGGGATATATAAACACCGTAAGATGGTGCCAGAGGAACATCACTGTCCAAAAAAGAAAATTAACAATAGGGAAAGAAAATCATCCCTTTTGTCGTAAATTTTTGTGTAGAGTTTCTGGTGTAAAACTGAAAATCTAAATCTAGGAAAGGACACTTATTGCTGTTAATATTTGATTTATTTAAAGTAAGTTGCTGTGGGTAAATTTCGGCAGTATATTTATTTCCAAAAATATAACTGAAACTTATGCTTTTAACTTTTATGTATCATACAATATATGTACATTGTCGCAAAATATAAAATTTATTTGTATACGAGCTTTAGAAACAGGACGAAAAGCGAGGCTCACCGAGCTTACCAAACCTTGAAACAGACTTATTCACAAGGGATATAGTTACAATACTGTTGTCAAGTCATTAAAGATGACATTTTTTGGAATCAATATTGTCTTGATTCACTTATAGGGTCTTTACATCGGTTCTTTTCTTGTTCTTCTCGTATAATTTATGATGGCATGATACTAAACACATAACGGGAGGGATTGTGGTTGATTTTCATATGACGAAGAAATAATCTTTCAATTAGTTTAATTGAAGTCTGGAGCTGGCATGTCAGTAACTGCTAGTAGTCCTTTGTTTATCGTTGTCATTTTGCTTAGTGTATTCTGTTACCTATTCTAACATCAAGACTCGGACTTCTTTTTAAACTGAATTTTACTGTGCGTTTTGCTTTGTGTTGTGTTTTTTTTTAATTTTAATCCACATTGACTAGAGGTATAGGGGGAGGGTTGCGACCTCACAAAACATGTTAAACCCCGCCGCATCTTTGCGCCTGTCCCAAGTCAGGAACCTCTAGCTTTGTCAGTCTTCTGTGTTGTTTTTTTTACTTCATATATATGTTTCGGAATTTAGTGTGGCGTCCATTTCGCTGAACTATTATACACCATTGTTAAGGGGCCAGCTGAAGCCCGCCTCCGGATGCGTGTTTTATTCGCTGCAAGACCCATTGGTGATTGGCCTTGGGCTGTTTTCTGCTCTTTGGTCGGGTCGTTGTCTCATTGACACATTCCCCGTTTCCATTCTCTATTCTATGGAATACTCTCACATTCCAGTATTGCAGTATTGTTCAAAACAAAAACAAAAAACACCTTACTACAATAAAATTGCAGGAAAAGTGGGAGATGGGAAAAAAAGTACAAAAAAGCGGGATTTTAAAGATGAGCACCCCGTTTCAACCCCCCTTTTCAAATATATATTGGGCGAATACAACTAATACTAAAAAAATCATTTTCTATTCAGTTAACTCTTATTTTCAGTGCAGACAGAAATCACAATAGAACTCGATTATCAAACACAATTTCCAGAAAAAAATATGAGCAGTTTTCTTTATTATGTTTTCCGTGTTGATAAATTGTCTACCAATTCCTCATCTCAGATCTATAAGTAACTTTAAATTACATCATTAATATAAATGAGGAGTGTTGCTTTCGACAAGATCTGAATAATTTGTTAAAATAACATAACAGTAGAAGACATACTTGTATGTATCAACCGAAAAAACTCTTACGTATAAATTTTAAGTCTAGACTTTAGAATAAGAGAAACCATATTTAGGTTAATAGTCATGCATTTAACTTAGACATGCCTTTTTAATTAAACAGGAAGGAAGAAATTACAGCGTTGCGAAAAGCTGTCGCTGTGCTCTTTTCGGTCTTTCAATATAAAACTAATTGAAGAGTAATGGACGAATGTACTTCTGTAAATTTTCGATGGCAAACTATTTCCTTATTTCATGTTGAGTTGTGTCACGTTCACCAGATAGTCTACATCTAAAATGATCTATTTAGAACCATTTTTATTGAACGGAACAATTAGTTGAAGAGTAATGGACGAATGTACTTCTGTAATTTTGGAAGACAAATTATTTCCTTAGTTCATGTTGAACTGTGTCACGTTTACCAGATAGTATACATCCCATTATCAATTATTTTAATTGAACAAGACAGTATATGGTATTTAATGACAATAAATACTTTTAATTAGAGAAACCACATAAATCTAATGAACTATAAGCAGAAGAACACATGGCCAATGCAACAACAGAACGCCTATAGAAGAGGGTCTGGGTTGGGGTTTACAGAATAGAGAATGATGGGCAAAAAATGCAGACTAAAGGGCTAGAAAATAAAAAATAGACAATAAAATAAAGAATAGATAACAATTAGGTGCTAAAATATACAAAATAGAGAATAATGGGCAAAATAAATAATGAACAGTGAAAAATTATCTAAAAAAATTAAAGAAAAAAAGAAATGAGTGACCCCCGATTAAGACCCTTATAAAACACTACAGGAAACCAGAGATAAGGACACAAACTCAAACAAATACGGGGTGATCTCGGTTGCTCCTAAAGGGTCAGCAGTACCTGTCCCAACTGTGACACTCGTCGTATTGTTCCTTTTAAAATCAGCCGATGAAAGATATCCAGCGATAAGCCATTTATAAAACACACTAGCGGATTGGTAAATGTCTATAATCCCTAGAGATATCACCAATTTTTGGCAAAATACATAACTCTAACATAATATATTGGACATGCACGAGGGTCAAGGTGGGGTTTACAGAATCAGGAAAAAATAGGCCCAAAAAATAGAGAATAATGAGGTTGCTAAAATACAAAAGATTATATAATGATGGGAAAAAAGCGAAGAATAGAGAAAAATGCATAAAAATTAAAGAATACAGAACTGAAGATCCCTTCCCAAATCCAGAGACCCTCATGCATGTACAGGATCAACGACATCTATCTAAAATTAACACAGAGTTAAGCATTGAGTCAATGTAACGATCGATCAACTCATGGTGAAAAAGAAATAGTCTGTGTCTAACTTCAAACTTTAACCGACACCAATCTTGAGGCACACCGTGCCATTCCAATAAATATAGTGCCTATTCAATGAAATAAAACGTCAATACACTGACAATCCAAATATTAAAACAAACAAGCCTTTTCAACCGAAGTAGTGTGTTCTTATGCTGTGCTGTTACACAACTGGCAAATGTTAGGGAAAGGTTGGGCACTTGCAAACATGTTAAAACCTGTCACATTCTGTATGTATGTGCCTGTCCCAAGCCAGTAATTCAGTGGTAGTCGTTTGTTGCTGTACATCATATTTGTTTTTCCGTTAATTGTTTTGTACATAAGTTTTCTCGTTTGAATTGTTTTACATTTATCATATCATGGCCTTTTATATATAGCTTTTATAGCGGTATGGGGTTTGCTCGTTGTTGAAGGTTCCTCGGTGACCTACAGTTGCTAACTTCGATTTACATCATTGATCTCTGGTGGAAAGTTGCCTCATTGGCAATCATACCATATCTTCTTGTTCTTATATACAATAAAAAGTATTATTAAGTTGGTGTGTGAGCAGGTAACTGTGTTTTTTTTTAACAAGACTCCAAATATTTTTTATGCGTTCTCAATTAAAAAAATAACACTACGTAATTGACGCAACAGCTAGGGAAGAACACGATTTTAAGAACTTTCATAAAATAATAAGAGAAGTGATCAGAAGTGAATGCAATACTTTGAGTAGTAAATAAGAAGAAAGACAACCCTATGTGACATGCTTATATTCAATAGTTTTGCTTCTATATATTCTTTACACTAAACTTTGTGACGTTCAATTGAATCACTCCTTTCTCGAAGATCGAGGGAGGGGGTGTGAGATCAAAGGACTCAGCATCGGGTAAACCAAATGTCAGTATTCACCTCTGAAACTAACAAAACCTTTAAATAGACTTATTAAGAAGGGATATAGTTACGATACTGTTGTCAGGTCATTAAAGATTGCATATTTTGGCGTTAATATTGATTCACTTATAGGGTCTTTGCATCGGCACTAAACACATTTATTTAAAAACCAGTTGTTGGCATGACACGGGTTATGTTCTTCTCATATATGTTATGATGGTATGATACTAAACCCCTAACGGGAAGGATTGTGCCTGATATTCATATGATGAAGACATAATCTTTCAATCAGTTTAATTGAAGTCTGGAGCTGGCATGTCAGTTAACTGCTAGTAGTCTGTTGTTATTTATGTATTATTGTCATTTTGTTTATTTTCTTTGGTTACATCTTCTGACATCAGATTCGGACTTCTCTTGAACTGAATTTTAATGTGCGTATTGTTATGCGTTTACTTTTCTACATTGGCTAGAGGTATAGGGGGAGGGTTGAGATCTCATAAACATGTTTAACCCCGCCGCATTTTTGCGCCTGTCCCAAATCAGGAGCCTCTAGCCTTTGTTAGTCTTGTATTATTTTTAATTTTAGTTTCTTGTGTACAATTTGGAGTTTAGTATGGCGTTCATTATCACTGAACTAGTATATATATTTGTTTAGGGGCCAGCTGAAGGACGGCTCCGGGTGCGGGAATTTCTCGCTGCATTGAAGACCTGTTGGTGGCCTTCTGTTGTTGTCTGTTCTGTGGTCGGGTTGTTGTCTCTTTGACACATTCCCCATTTCCATTCTCAATTTTACAGGTTATGCCATTATAATACCAGCCAAGACAAACGCATCACTGATTCGGTGTATAATACTATGTATTAAAGAAATGCATACATTCGTTGGTCTGCCAATGAAGTGCAGTTACTTACAAATATCTGAACTATAAAAAATTTTCATCCAGGGTCATCTGCCGTAATAAATGTTAGCATGCAATGTAGGTTTTGAATATACCCGGGAACACTTCATGCGCAACAAAGGGACATCATTTACTTATAGTAGATACACCACACTTTGTGAATGCATTTAAATGTTCGTCTTCTCTCATCATATAACTATATATGGACCCCTTTTCTTGTATTGATTTGTCTTGCATGTTCTTTTATGTCGTTTTGTTAGTTCAATGGTCGAAATAATGAAGGGTAAGATTTGGAAATTACAAAAGGTTAGTTTCACCCCGTAACCCAAAGGTGTATGCTACTGACCAAAGTCTGGAATATCGTCAGTAGATTTCAGTTTACGCCGTCCGCTTCATATTCAGAATTGATGGTTTCACACAAAATAATTAATTTTAAACAGTATAAGGAGAAAACTATTCATGGTCTCGAAATGCTAAGTTCATATGAAGATGCTTTATTTCCATCAAATGGGCTCACAAGGAGCATAATATAATATCATTATAATATTATTTTTACAAATATAATAAACAATACAGTATACATAGTTACAAACACAAATAAGAAACAACAGTTTTCACATATTCGTATATATATAGTATATACAAAACCTTCGTCTCAGGCACACCTCTAGAAAGAAACAAAAAAAAAGAATTCTGTGAGTAGGCTAAATATATATAGCTTAACTGCAGGAGGCACCAAGGGACGGTGCTATATGGCATGGTGGGTGCATATTAAAATGTGTATCGGGACATTAACATGATTAATGATATGGTGAGATATTGTAAGAAGTTGAATGCGGCTCGAAACATACTAGAAATGCTCGGTATACAACCTCGTGTTTTCCTATACAAATTTTTACGGTTCATCATTATATATGCACTTGCAATTATCTCTTACGCGTGTCAAAATTAACAAGTTAATCAAATTAAATGTTGTCTAATGGAGCTTAATTTTGGTGGTTTATATTGTAGAGTAACGATCAGTGGTGTCTTCAACCCGTGTCAGCATTTGAAAAATATATATTATTCAACCTATGACAATAAAAAAAGAGTATGAGTGTTGTCAGAAACATATGTACATGTATATTCTTGTGTTGTTGTAACAGTTACCTCTTAATTCCATGTAAAATGCATTCAGTATTTTTTATGCATTCAACATAACTCCTTTTAAATTAAATTTGAAATAACTATAAAACAGCCGGCTTTAAAATCAGGTTTAATCAACCATTTTCACCATACGGAAATGCCTGTACCAAATCAGGAATATGCATGACAGTAGTTTTCCATTCGTTTTATGTGTTTGAGCTTTCGATTTTGCCATATGACTTTCCGGCGTTTTGAATTTTCCTTGGAGTTCGGTTTTTTTGTTTTGTTATTTTACCTTATACTTGCAAAATTATGTTTTACATAGTAAATATGATATTTGAAAAAAAATAATACAATAGAACACTAAATACTGGGAAAATTAAAAAAAAATGTATTTATCAAGTTTTCGTTGTGTCAGTTGAGCTCAAAACCCTAATGTTCAAGAACAAAATGAGTTGCAACTTAATTGGAACGAATTGGCATGGAACGAGATTCCTTCGACCTACTAGGAGATAGCACAGACTCAACTCAGTGTAGTGGCATTCACTGACGGCTCTTGTCAGGGTAATCCAGGACCATGTTGGGAGGGGGCGGTAGTATATTCTGGAAATAGCCAAGGCGTGAGCCTAAAGAGGCCAGTAGCTAACAGAGGATCAATACTACTTGCCGAACTTGTAGCAATCCTAGTGGTTCTAGAGCACTGCATTACAACAATAAAGGACCAGTTTTCTGAGGTCAAACGTTGGCAGACTGCTGTAGTCTTCTTGACTCTGCATTGGAAATCTTCAAACTACATTGACACATGCAATAACAGACATTAGAGAACGTATGGGGACACTCTTTAGACACGGCATACTAACAACCCTATCTTTGATCCCAGGCCATGCTAATATAGCCGGGAACGAGATAGAGGACCAGTTGGCGAAAGATGCTGCAAAGGAGGCCTCATCACTAAACCATGATGATCAATTTAATGTCATAACTATGCCGGATGTAAGAAGTGCATGCAGTCAAGATGTCTACAAAACTAAAATGGCAAAGCAGATGGACAATCAGTGAAACAGGGAGACAGCTATACGATCTGGTACCTATTGTTGGGAAGTACAACTAGACTTCCCTAACCCCCAAATTGGAAGAATATTATCAGAACTAAGAATGGCAGGCTACAACAGGCTAAACAAATACAGAAACCAAATAGGTCAATCCCTCATGCCGTATTGTGAATGCGGTGAAGAAAAAACAACAGAACATTACTTAATATACTACCCAAGATACCATCAGGAAAGAGAAGACTTGAAAAGACAACTGGAAATACTTAACATTCCAGTAGACATTCAAACCGTGACTACTTTCACCATCAAAGAGAGAAACATAAGAAAAAACTGCACAAATTATAGGGGAATATCTATCTAAATCAGAGCATTTTCAAGAACTGGCAAGCCCTGAAACGCGATCCTGCGCCTAAACAAACTTTCTAAGTACAATGAGAAATTACTATGAGAAATGGTGTACCATAAGAGGAAACTATTCGTACAAGCAGAGACATATAATACAAGTTATATATATGTCTCTGGTACAAGCGAGACAAATTGTGTCAATTTTGACCTTAGGTTCAGGATCATGATCGATATCAATGTCTGAGTCCCCTTTTCAATGAATAGTTTTGTGCAAAAAAGCTACATGGATGATTTCTCCATCATCTATAATTAATTTAAGGAAATTTTTATATATTAAATGGGTGGGTACCGGATTAAACATCATTGGGGTTTAGGTAAGGGTACTAGTATAACCAATTAAAACGAGGCTATTCATTCGCCGTATTACTGTTTCCGGAATGAAACAAAATAGTGCAAAATAATTTATACTTATATTAGATTGAATGTATAAAATATTTAAACAATTTAAATGGATTTTTTTACAAAATCTAGTTTCAATTTATTACACCTATATATTACGCAATGATGTGTTGCATTACTCTAATATCGTTCAACTCTTCCGGTGATATCCTTGTGCAAGTCTTTTACATGTGGTAGTCGGCATGGTAGGTCGCATAGCCATGTGCTCTATATTTTTTTAACGTGTTCTTGTTAGTTTTGATATTGAATAAACTGGCACAATGTTAAACATATATACAGTTATAACTTGTTCAATGTTAAGTTTACACAAAAATAATATTTAATGGTTTTTAAGGTTCACATGTTAACAAATCGACATAAATGGTTGAATTTACTCAACGTCAACGAAAAATTATTTAATCTCGAGAAACCTGTGAACTTTTGAAAACACGACATATCTCTGATATTTAAAAGTTTGATGTATGTATATTTTACTGTCGTCTGCAGTGACGAAAAAAACGTGTTTTCGTGCATGTTGTTGCTTGTACATGTACCTTACCAAGATATCTACCAAGCTTTGACGACCACATGGTGATGATAGTTTCCCCGATAAATTCACAAAACAAATATCCAAGTCACAACGTCCTTTGACTGTTTTCCCCGTATGACCACATGCCAAACGTGGTACATCATTCAAAAACTCCCCTATTGATTCTTACAAATCATGCTGCATTTAATTAAGAGAAAATGTATAAACTAACATGACCCTCCTTTTCTCACTTAAGGTTCATCATAACAAATGGACAAATATGGCCGTATTTTCACCTCAAAAACTACTCCGTGTACAGACTTACCTGAGCAGTTTGGAAAGTTTTAAGGCCTGGCATCCACTAGATATATAAAAGTTAAATGTATTTTGTATATCAGAAAGGTAAAATCTTTTTTGGATTTTAATGGGCATTTTTTTTCATTCCTGCAGAAGGTGTAAAAATAAACTAAGTTGGGATACAACTTTGAGATGCTCCCTCTCGGGTAACAACTGGTTTGTATTGTATTGATTGTACTTGATTGGCATGGACAATAGATATCTACACATCTATAGGTGAGTTAAAGGTAGTAACTGAGTGGACAGTATCAAATGCAATTCAGGTGTTTGTTTATTTTTACACCTTCTGCAGGAAGGAAAAAAAATGCCCATCAAAATCCAAAAACGATTTTATCTTTCTGAAACACAAAATGCATTTAACTTTTATATATCTATTGGATGCCAGACCTTAAAACTTTCCAAACTGCACAGGTAAGTCTGTACACAGAGTAGTTTTTGATGTGAAAATACGGCCATATTTGTCCATTTGTTATGATGAACCTTAAAGTCAAAGTCCAGAGTTTTCATCTCTTCCATTTTTTGTGCTGTCTACTATGACTAATAAAGTTTAAAGTAACACCTTTATCACCAAATACAGTGAGCACAAGAATTCAGAAGCAAAAACATGTCACAAATTGGAACACATTAAAGTGATGAAAAGGTCATGATACCTCAGTTGGTTGATCTTGAACTTGGTATACAGCAAATGCCTTGAAATGGTGTGAGTGAGATACAATGGTTATTCCTTAAATTTGCTTAGCTCTATATTTGTAAGTCTTAAGCAGTTCCTGTATGCTCATCAATAAATGTAGCAAAATGTATATTTACAAGTATTTTTCAGACTTCCAAGCGTCGAAATAATGGACGCAGCAAAAAAGGGCGCGGGCACGTTAAGTATGTAAGGTGTACCAACTGTGCCCGCTGTGTTCCCAAAGACAAGGCCATCAAGAAGTTTGTCATCAGAAATATTGTGGAGGCAGCAGCTGTCAGAGATATCTCTGATGCCAGTGTATATGATGGTAGGTTTATTTGAGAATATTTGTCATTTGTTGATGTGGTAAGTGGTGTTCAAAATGGATGGAAATTACTGATAGAAAACAAGAAAATATATGTTGAAAGTGTCAGATTTGTCGACATTTTAATTTAGAAATAAGGAGATGTGGCATGATTGCTAATGAGACTACTATTGACCATAGATCAAAGAACCAGGATGAAAACTCGAGAGTTACTGTACGGTCTGTTATTTGATGGTTTTGGGAAGAAAGAAAAAACAGGATTTAAAAATTTGCATTAAGCAGTCATAAAAAAATGCATTTTCACTAAAATTCAACTGACAAAGGATGTGTGAAAAGATTGGAGGGTCATGAACTATTTACAACAAAAATAACTTTGTTTCGTACAAAATCCTTTTTATTAGCATTTTTATACGACTGCCACAAAAATTTTGGGATCGTATGACGTCGTCTGTGTTGTTGTCCGAAGACACATTGGTTTCCGGACAATAACTTAAGTTTAAGTGAATGGATCTCTGAAATTTTTTAAGAAGGTTCATTACCTCAAAAGGAAGGTTGGGATTGATTGTGGGGGTGATGGTCCCAACCGTTTAGGAATTAGGGGCCCAAAACGAGCATTTTTCCAGTTTCAGGATAATAACTTGTGTAGAAGTATTTCGATTGCTCTGAAATTGTACCACAATGTTTAATACCACTAGTAGAAGGTTGGGATTCATTTTAGGGGTTATGGGGCCAACAGTTTAGGAATTAAGGGCCAAAACAAGCATTTTTCTAGTTTCCAGACAATAACTTGTGTGTAAGTGTATGGATCTCTCTGACATTGTACCACAAGGTTCCATTTAACAAAGGGAAGGCTGGGATTGAGTTTGGGGTTAATTGCCTCAAACGTAGGAATTAGGGGCCAAAAAAGGGCCATAAACTAGCATTTTTCTAGTTTACGGACAATAACTTGTGTGTAAGTGTATGGATCTCTCTGAAATTGTACTACAAGGTTCCATACTCCAAAGGAAAGGCTGGGATTGAGTTTTGGGGTTATTGCTCCAAGAAGGGTTTCAAAAAGTTGGGGGGGGGGATTTTTTTCCCAAATTTAAGGGATTCATTTTTTTTTTTTCAAAATTTTTTAAATTTCGAATTTTTGAAAAGTTTCAAGAAGAAATCTTCAATTGCATAGTATTGCGCGGAAGATTTATAAGATCTTTGACCACATTTTTTTTTATCACAATCCAAAATCAGACAGTATCAAGCTTGAATATTGTGTCCAAATTTGCCCCAACTGTTCAGGGTTAGACCTCTGAGGTCGTATCGGGCTGCGCTCAGCGATGCATTTTATTATTTTAAAGGAACATCAAAATGGTAATTGTTTTTATATTATTTAACCAGTTTAAATCTAAAATATATAAACTAAGGATGTCAACTCTGTGATGTTACAAATTGATTTTACCCCGGAATAATCCAAGTTATTTTTGACTAGAAAATAGTCACAAGAATTGTTAGGTATACAAGAATCTAATCAATGATTCAATAAACACCTATTGAATATTAATGATTACAAACTTAGAGTTAAACCATATCAGTCCTATTCTTTAATTGGTAAGAAAACAAATTTGCAAAGACGTGTCAATTAGAAGTCCTTTAACCATTTACAACTTCTCACCTTAGGGTGTGACTAATTTGATCTTATTAAGAAATATTTTTTTGTTGACTATGTCAGGGAAGAGTCAGTTTTGTAACTTACTTAAATATAACAGCCCCGAGATAAAAATGTTTGCTCTGATGGTATCTATATTGTGGGACTTGCTAAGATGCATTTAGACGAAATTGTCAGTCTAGTAATCTGCTCGAGTATTTCCCACCACTTTTCTTCTTCTTCCAGGTAAGGAACCGGATTCAAAACTGAATGTTATTGGTTCCGTGCCAACAAGTGTCGGGCAACACAGAAAGTTCTCTCTTCGCTATTTACAAATTACATTTAAAATGTTCGCAATATTATACAATTAAAATTATGTACAACTGGTGTTTCCTACATCCTTTCAGAGCATGCCTCAAGGGCAGCTCTGAATCCCTTTTAAAGAACATATTTCGGGATTTCTCTCAGTGTTTTCAAACGGAAGATTTTGACAGAATTTTAAACCACCTCAGCTCAAACATACTTTTTTTTATATGAATATTTACTGTGGATTCATTTATTTTCTTGGGTATCAATTTTTGTGGATATTTGATTTCATGGTTTAACAAAAGTCTACATACATGTACAAGCCTTCACAAAATTTGTACTTGGGTGAACATTTAAATTCTTGGATCACCTTTACCAACAAAATCCACAAAAAGATGTATCCAATATTGAATAATGATGAATCCACAGTAGTAATTAATCAGTTCTTTAAGTGGCGTTCACAAGATCAATATAACAAAAAGAAGGGGACAATGTCATAACATGAAACTAAAAAATTGAGTGTCATTTTTTTTTTACATCCCTTTAAATATAGCCACAGATTAAAATTCAAATGTTGACCTTTGAATGATAGAAATCAGCTGTTTACACTGTATAATGACCCAAATATGTTACTATGTCAATACAAGTTACCAAATATTTAGTTGTATATTGAAACCAAATGTTGATATTGATATAATCATTATTTCAGTATATGCATTGCCCAAGCTATATGCTAAGCTGTTGTACTGTGTGTCCTGTGCAATCCATTCAAAAGTAGTGAGAAACAGATCACGAGAGGCACGTAAAGACCGATCACCCCCACTTAGGTTCAGACCAAGAATGGTAAGTTTTATGACACTTTACAACATTTTAAGTACATTTTATTGTGTTGATAGAGAATTATTGAGAATCGTTGGTCATCTCAACCATATTGATTTTCTCGCTTGAGCCGTTACAGGGAAAGTGAGAAAAGCAATCGAGTTGAGATGACCAATCTGTTTATCGTTATTTTACCTATGACGACATTGTTAATTTCATTGACAACGGCACATGCGCCCTTAGTTTCTAGCGATAATTTTTCATATCACTCTACTGTGCTGAGAAAGAAAATTATCAGTCAGTAAGATCAAAGGAAAATTTTGTAAAATAGCGATAACAAAAGATATACAAATTTATATAGCTATAGAGATACATTTTGTACTTTGATTCAATATCCAATCAGTTTTATTTTTTATTTTATATTTACTCAATATTCTAATAGTGGTGGGCATAAGAAGTATTGGAATTGAAGTAGATTTTAGTAAGATACATAGATGCCAACTGTTGGGATTTATCCCTTATTGTTATGAATTTGGACCAAAATTACGGAATTAGACTAACAGTCTGCTTGTTAAAGTTTTTGTCCATTAACCGTTTGGAACAGTTCCCTGTTAAGATATCAATGTGATACTTTATTTTTGGTTATTATTTTGTAACAATTACCACTTGCGTGATTCGGATAATTAAATTCTTTCAGGTTTCTCTGGACTATCTACATATGTATAGTAGAAAGTGGTCTATCCATTTCTTGTTCGATTTCGAATAATTAATGAAATTAGAACAATTGAATTTCTGCAATAAGGAAAGAAAACTCAGACAAAGAAATAAGAAACGAGCATTATTCACCTCAAAAGCTAACAAAACCTTTAAACAGACTTATTGAGAAGGGATATAGTTACGATACTGTTGTCAGGTCATTAAAGATTGCATATTTTGGCTTTAATATTGATTCACTTGTAGGGTCTTTGCATTGGAATTAAACATATTTATTCTAAAACCAGTTGTTGGCATGACACGGGTTATGTTCTTCTCATATATTTTATGATGATATAATACTAAACCCCTAACCGGAGGGATTGTGTCTGATATTCATATGATGAAGACATAATCTTTCAATCAGTTTAATTGAGGTCTGGAGCTGGCATGTCAGTAACTGCTAGTAGTCTGTTGTTATTTATGTATTATTGTCATTTTGTTTATTTTCTTTTGTTTCCTATTCTGACATTGGATTCAGACTTCTCTTAAACTGAGTTTTACTGTGCATACTGTTGTACGTTTGTTTTTTCTACATTGGCTAGAGGTATAGGGGGAGGGTTGAGATCTCAAAAAACATGTTTAACCCCGCCACATTTTTGCGCCTGTCCCAAGTCAGGAGCCTCTGGCCTTTGTTAGTCTTGTACCATTTTTAATTTTAGTTTCTTGTGTATAATTTGGAGTTTAGTATGACGTCCATTATCACTGAACTAGTATACATATTTGTTTAGGGGCCAGCTGAAGGACGCCTTCGGGTGCGGGAGTTTCCGCTGCATTGAAGACCCATTGGTGGCCTTCAGCTGTTGTCTGCTCTATGGTCGGGTTGTTGTCTCTTTGACACATTCCCCATTTCCATTCTCAATTTTATTATGCCTTTTTGCAAATATTCTGTGAAAAATTCCATTCAGGGCGATGGTCGGTTTTCTTCTGACACTTGCTCATCAACTTTGAATCATAGTTGTCATAAATAAAGAAAGGAAGTCTTTTATTTGTCACTGTGTGCCTAGTTGTTAGTATGAATATCATAACATTTTATACAGAAATATTATTACTGAAACAAATAACGGAAATCTTAAGACTTTTTTTTTATATTCATTAAGCCCAGTAAAATATATATATATATTTATCATTCATTAATGTGTAAAAATATATTTTGGCCTGTATGAGCCCCAATACCCTTTGAATTTGATTTAAAGTATATGAATTGGAAATTTGCAACCCTTTTGTTTAAAGTGATGTTATTTGAGCTTGCTCCGTGAATTTTGAAGGTTCTTGCATAGAAGAGTATTTACAGGACTGAATACACTTGTTTATCTTTTCAGGACGGAGGTCCACCCAGACAAGGTGCTGGAGCTGGAGCAGGTACCGGAGGAGGCGGTGGCCAGGGTGGTGGTGGTGGTGGTGGCGGCGGCGGCGGAGGAGGCGGTCCCCCACAAAGGACATAAACTGTTAATAAATGTCATACAGTGTTTACAGTGTTATTTTTCTGGGATATTACATCCTGTTATTTAGATATACTTTTTATTTCATCTGACTTTCGCTTCACAGCAACTTAGGCTACTTTTTCTTTCTTTTTTTTTTAACATTCTTGTAGCCACAGAGGTACATTGATTACTTGAATTTAAACGTACATAATATACTTATTTTTATTTACCAGATGTACATTATAATGCTATTGTGAAAAACTTTATGGTTTTCATCTTTTGAAATATATTAACTACACACACAAATTAAGGTAGCATTTAGTAATCTTTTGCATAGAATTGGGATGAAAGTGGCAATTTTTAACCTTCAATTATGGGCTTGTCTATCGCTACTGTATTCACACTCTAGAATACATGAACATTGAAAGCATTTAAGAAATTGCCATGTAAAGGTGGTTCTTTGAAGCAAAAGTCAATCTCTAAAACGTAACAATACATTGTGATATAAACAGCTCATAAACTTTATATTATCTTAAACTTTAAAAAAAAATATTCTTTGAAACTACTGGGCCAAATAGAACCAAACCTGGCAAAATCATCCTTGGGCTATCTAGTTTAAAAAAGGTGCACTGTGATCCAGCCAGTCAACCAAAATGACCATTAAAGTTTAAATAGAACATGTTGGCAACATGCAAGTACTGTTTATTATCTTGTGAACTGTAGAGGATTGAGAAAATCTGACAACAGAAATGTTCAAAATGAGATCTACCTATTTTCTTTTTATACAACTATCATACAGTGCATTATATTTGTTGTCCGGGACATGGAAATACCAGGCGTCCATCCTTCTTGTTAGCGCTCTCATGTGAACAATTCTTGTCAGATTTTTATGAAACTTGTATCATTGGTTTATATTAGCAATGTCTAGGACGAGTTCGAAAATCAGTGCCGATCAATTATTTAAAAAAAGTTATGCCCCTTGGATACATTAATTTTATGGAAAATTGCATCATTAGCACTCTCATGTGTACAATTCTTGCAAGATGTTTATGCAACTTAAATGATGGGTTTATATTAGCAATGTTTTGGATGAATTTGAAAATCAGTGCCGATCAATAATTTTTAAGAGTTATGCCCCTTGGAAATATTAATTACATGGAAAATTTTATTAAAGTCATGAATTATATCATGTTGGAGAATGGCCATTTTTCAGATGTGTGCAACACTGGCTCTTAAGCGCCTCTTAGTCTAGATTTTGTTGGCTGAACATTGAAATAAAAAAAAGAATATTAGCAAATTGGAATTAATGTAAAAAAGGCACAATTTTCCTTGATTTGTTTCATTCGCAGGGTCACAATCAAAAATATGTTCGGAACCAATAGAATTCACATTGTCAAAAGATTTTCCAGAGATTATAAGTACAAATACTTTTAATAAAAAAAAATTGTCAGCACACCACATTGTTGCTAGATAACAAGAGTTCACACGCTGAAATGTCTCGCCATTTTTACTGACCATTGATTTTATGTTGATAGTCCTAAATGTAAAGCTTTACTTAAAGTATCACATAAACTTAACATGATCCAAGAAAATGAGGTCATGGTCATATAAACCTAACCAGAAATACATGTACCTGTCGTAGTTCCAAAAAAAATATGACTCCAAACAAAATCAGGTTTTATTCAAAAAGATGCTGCTATATAACAATGACGAAAACCATGAGATCTACAGTCAAGTCAATAATGTTAACGGGCAACCATTTGGAAGATCTTATCTCCCTGTAAAACTTCGTGAAACGATTTTAAAATATATTTCACTGAGTACTTTAGATTTCAATTTCAAGACAACAATGTAACATGAAAAGATAAAGAATGTATACACTGAAGAGTCTCGTCTATCAATCTAAATAAATTACTATCGATCAGTCGTAACTTGCGTCATATCTCAGAAACAGACATTACCAGGAAAACTAACTGACCAATGATCCATAAAAATGAGGTCAAGGTCAGATGCATCCTGTCTGAAAGACGTGTACACTTTGCAATCATTCCATACACATACTTAACTTTGACAAACATGTAGACTTGCATAGTTGACCTATTGCTAATAGTAACTGAGAAACAAACGAAGCCATGATAACTCAGTAACATTGACATAATGTCCGTCTGGTAGGTTTCTTTTGACATTGACATGACGTCAAGACAAGAGGAAACTTGCCAGACAGACAGTTACATATTACAATCATTCCATACATCAAATAGAGTTGATTATAGTTCTGCTTTACTACTTTACATTTGAAATGACAATACAATAAATATGAACTAGTATAAGCAGCAATATTAGTAATAGTAGACCTGTAGTGGAAATAAAATCTAATAGGGTCATTAGTAGGCTTTCCTATTTCACTTTACACTACTCCCATTGATAACATTGTTAAAACTTCTGACTTGTTGAACAGTAATTTGATTAAACATATTGCAATTTGGTCAGAACTTTCACTGACCTGCAGAGTTGGTCGAAAGAAGCACCAATAATTAAGTACATGCACTACGTTAAGGCAATCTAAAACAACTAGGTGATTGGTCATGTCTGGAAGAGAATGCCTAGTAAAAAATTTTAAGAACAATTACAACATATTCACACACCAAAACTTTCATACAATGTACAGCTATCCTTAGCAACTATGACCTTGAGTTTTGGCCAACTGACCTAAAAGAGAGGTTTCCTTTCCTTTTCCACTCTCAACAACTTGTACAAGTGTACCTCAAAACAGTAAATTACAATTATTTTTTCCTAATATTTAGTCTATTTCTAGCAGCTGAGACCTTGACCTTTCACCCTTCTATGAATCTTCCATATGCACACGTTTGATTATAAACAAAAAAAGAAAACTAGTTACCATCTCAAAATTAACAATAACAAATTTATATTTGACAATACTATATTCTATTTTGAGTAACATCATGTTGACATTGCTCTTTAACCTATTAATCCCAAAATTAGTATGTTTCTTTTCCTTCCCTATATCTTTCATTTGTACAACTTCCATTCCAATCAATAAAGAGAACTTAAGAGACCATCCAGAAACCTTGTTTCCATTTTTTTATTTTTTTTAGTAACAGTAGTGACTGAACCTTGTCACCAAAGATAAAATATTCTTTACCTTTTCTAGATCTTCAATCTGCATACTGATTCATTATTATTCGTAAGCTACCAATTTTCGTGGTTTCGTGGGTAAGGGTACACCACGAATTTAAATGTCCAACCAAGTACAAATGTTCTATATACGTGTTCAGTGTGTGCAGACTTTTTCAAAACGATGATATCTAATATCCACGAAAATACCATTTCCCCCAAATCCACGAAAATTGGAATGCACATTAAGTGTTTATAGACATTTTTCCAGCAAAGTATTTAATCGTGCTCTGTGATTGTAGCAATGTTTGTTGTTGTTAATGACAGTATTTTTTAGTACGGTTTCACTTGTTATTGGGGCTCCCACAGGGTACCCCCTCAGGTCGCGAGGTCGTTTTTAAGGGAAATGTACAGGTCGCAGGTCGTTTTTTTCTAACATAGAGGTCGGTAGTCGTTTTTATATTTGAAGGATCCATTTAAGTCATTGTGTCGATTCTTGTGTTATTAAACCAGGGACGTATATGTTCCTGATTAAACCTTTTAGTTTTAAATTAGTTATTTGGACATTTTGCTGTGCCCTTGGGTTCGGTTGTTCTTGTTTTGTTTGACGCCATCCAGAGATGGCTGTCTGTAAGTGGGAAGTTCCTGCTCTATTGAAGTTCGTGTCGTCAGCTCTAGCCTTTTTCTTGTATGGCATTTAATGATCGATATGTGATGTCTTCGTGTCATTAACCCATATCCGTTTTTTTCCATATTGAGACCAAAACAGGACTTGAACTTTTCGATTTTTCAGAACAGTAGTTTCAACCAAACGTTCAGTATTTCACTAATCCAACACAACATTCATATTGAGCAAGCCCCCAGAACTCTTATAAAATCAACGGGGGTGTAGAGCTGGATTTACCTACTGAGATACTTTGAACACGATCTATAGACTGATGGCAACAAGGAAATGTCTTGAAGACAGGGGTGTCCCACTCGGCGCTTATTTCCATTTTCGATGGAACCCATCCCCCCCCCCCCCCATTTTTACACAGTTGTTAGTCCATATCATGATAAATAAAGAGTACGGTACAAAATTTCATGAAGATTCGATTTGAAAATTTTTAGGAAATCATCTTAAACGCCAAGGTTAACCAAAGTGTAACTGACGAACAAACGGATGGAAGAACAGACCGAACACTGAAAACCTAAATTAGTCAATTTGACCAATTTAATTGGTCATTTTGACTGTCCTCTAGATGACAATGCATTTTAATCATTTTGACTATGCTCTTAGTCGTTTGACTAGATGGTTAGTCACATTTGACTGAGTAGGCTGGTATTTATGACTATGTTAGGAAGTCAAAATGACTATATGTTATACTCGTTATGACGAATTGGATTGTTCAATTGACTATGCACATTTGTCAGTTTGACAATTGAATGCAGTCCATATGACTTATTGAAATGGTCGAAAGTGACCATGTTGGTTAGTCAACATGATTACTGTGAACAGTCACGACTGTTAGACTGTTATTTTAATTTGTGTTGTGTTTTTTGTTCTACCATTTTACTTTGTGTGTGTTTCCATCCGTTTTGTACTTTTATGTTTCATTTCTTCTGTTATTTGGAATATAATATCATTAAAAATACCACAGCAGCAAAACTAACAATGACATCAGTATATGACCACAAAGTGCTCAATGTTCAAAACCTTCCTATATCTTAAGTTTCCATGTGTTACCATTACTCAGTGACATATATTAAAGTCTAAAATTCAAATAAAGAAAATATATTTATTATAAACTCATTGTTACATACATTATGATATCCCAACTTCAATATATAATTTATACATTTTCAGTATGTCAGAATTTGAAGTGTTAATTTTAGATATTTTGTCGGTATCAACTCTGCATGTGTCAGTG